GCTCGAGAGTCAGCGTTTTTTGACAATAAATACGTGACAGCCTGCAGGAATAGCGTGTCAATGAATAAAATTGTGAGTTATTGTAAATTAGTCTTAATTTGAGCTAATTATGTAAGGACATGAAGTGTACAAGAGCACCTATTGTACTCACAAAGAGAGAGGGATCTCTCTCTAAGCAAAGATCGATGTGGTTAGAAAGCTCTTGCTGTGCCAAAGCTGCTGCCCCAATAATTTCAGTATGAGCTTACCCAACACACGCAATACGCAAAACACTGTGTTGACCAGTGCACCAAATTGCAAGCTCATATCAATGTTGTTTTATTAAATATATTCGAGACAATTAATTTATTTCATACTACAACGACAGATGCCTCATGAAAAGAGCAGGTTTGTTAAATTTAGTCCAGATATAAGCTAACTACTTCATCAGCCAGGTAGATAATCCATCGTCTTATTAACGGTTCAAATTCAAATTCAATGCAAGTGACAAAACTCGTGAATAAATTAGTTATCCAGGAGCAAGCAATCAAGAAGTTAGTTTGAATTCAACATGCTTGTGAAGGAAATTGGACATAAATTCTCGCTTGAAAGCAATAGCCATAAATTGTGATCATTAGCATCGACCTCAGAGCACAAGCTTTAAAGAACGAGCCGTGAGCGAAGGACATTTATTCAATAATGAAGAGCTACGACTTGAGCGTAGATTTAAAACGATAACTTTTCTACATAAGAACACACGATGGTCACCACTCAACTAAGTGGAAGTTATTAATTCGTGACAGCGCTACAATAACTTGTGCAAATTAGGTATGAGCGTCAGTTAAATAAACGTTATTTGGACGCCTAGTTACTAAATTGGAGTAGACACAAAGTGAGATACATTTACATTTTTAGTACAATTCTATAGATTAAGGGAGTAAAACCGGACATTTTTCTTCTCTGTGTTCCATAAGCCAATTGAAACCAACAAATGATAACGTTTACGTTTAACGCAAGATGGCGATACTCGTTTAAAAAGAAAAAAATATAGCTCAGTACTCACTGCAGAGAGTGACAGAGAGCGCATTTTCTCGTCGACGAAAACTTGAGGTCACGGACGGACAGACAGACAGACGGACATGGCGAGCACAATAGTGCATTTTTTCCATAAATGAGAAAATGCGCTAATAAGTGTGAAAGAACAAACATCGTCGACTCAAGTAAACCGAAACATGAACTTTGACATTAGTTGCATTGATAATTGCACAAGACTAACTAGTGCACGATGCGCCTTAGTTGAGTTATATAATTTTCATCTTGCAGTAAAAAAGGCATTAGGTCACATGACGTTTGAAAAGGTCAACCTAAGGCCAGTCAGAGCACGTTTACTGTTAACTACATTCTAACGAACGATGTAAAGCTAACTGTCACATATTGGAGAAGCAAGGAAGAACATTGCACGACGATTTCAGCACTAGAAGGACGAGAATCGAACAGAATTACGCACTTTATTCTTCGATCTACTGCTCGAAGTCCTCTTCAAAACACTTATCAAGCTTCCTTTTGAAGATCTAAATGGAAATTGAATTTCCGCATTCCACCGAACTGACTCACCTAACGTCAAGTTTTCAATTAGGCCTCACACAGCATTGAACAGAACCTTCGCCAAGATGAATATTGAGCTTCTGTACGCGAAGCCATGTAGCTTCTGAACATAATCTTGATCAACGACAATTACACAAGTAAATGAAAATCAAGAGAAATGTTCAGCGTGTGTTCGCTTGGTCACTATGACGGGTGCACACAATTCTGCCAGTTACGGTCCTCCAATATTCTTCAATGCATTTCCTTAGATAGAATCATTCATTCACACTAGCCGTGCAAGGTACCTACCATGCCCATGGTGTGAATGCTTCTATGGAGATGCATCAAAGAATATTAGACTGGACCGTGACTGACAAATTCATACGTGTGGTGATCCCGGTCCTACGGGACGAGTGAGCAGCGAATTACGCTAAGCAAGCACTACTCTTAAACCACGAGACATACAATAAATTCAAAGAATGAGACTTAGTTTCTTCAAGATAAGCAGGAAAAAATTATACAGAAAGCAGTGGAATGTATTGGTCGGACAACAGGTTTTGGTGTGCAAAGTTAAACCTCAGGTATGTTTGTAAATATATATGCAGGTTTAGTTGAAGACCAGAGAGTATTTCTTATTGACAATTGTCAATAAGAAATACTCTCTGGTCTTCAACGAAACCTGCATTAAAGAAAATCTTCTGCCAAACTACACCAATGTAAATATATGTGTATACAAACTGAAACTGTTCAAGCTGGCGTGGGGAAGAACATCGATTCCAGTAACTGCAGCAACAACGCTTGTGTTCTCAAAAATGTATTTGCAAACACAAGCAGCGCGCACGAACCTTCCAGAATTACGAAAATTTAATGATACTACAGAATACCTCTGCGGAGGAAACGAAACAGGAATTGAGATGAATAATTTCAAATACCTATATATTAATTGATAAGTTAAGCAAGAGTGAGTTTTTGGCCGGGTGGTGCTTCTGATTAATGAATATATACAATTACAATTACCTGAAAATTAACACCAGTTTCACTTTAAGAACGGTAAATGAATGAATAGTTTTGAGCCGTGCAGAACTTTGCTCGTAGTACCTCTAGAAAATTGAGAAGGTGAAAACACAATATGCAAGTCATGACACTGTTTTCTTGTATGGTATTTACAAGCGCGGAGACCTGAAGTTATAGTTGACTCTTAACATAATAAGAGGTAATTTACGGGCATAAAATGAGGGATAGAAAGAGCGCATGGAGCTGCTAGCACGGCAACAAGAGCCACACCAACAACTTCCTAGCCCAAGGTTGTCTCCAAGTGCCTGCTAGCGCGAACCGCCGCTAACTGAAGTTCGCAGCCGCAGGTCCACAGATGAATATACACTTTGTACATAATTACCACATAGAGTTTGTTCCTGGATAAAAATAAATACGTACCCTAAAATCAGCGGCATGAAAGACTTGATGCGCTTTAAAAAAAAATAAGGTTATTTCGTGATGTTCATGAACGGCTTTGCGATAGGTATATTATTGAACCTACATAGGGAATATTGCGATCGTCCCTAAAATAGATAAACGTCAGATTAATAAGAATTTGTGAGATAATAGATTATCTGTCCGAGGTTAATTGCAACCCAGTTTAAAATTGCAATCAAACCTTAAGGATTACCTACACTAATTGAAGTTATTATTACGTGACTTCGATTACGAAAGCACGAGAATGTACGAACCCGTTTCTTGAAGATTGGAGTTGCTTCCACATTGAAACGCCAAAATATTTTTTTCCAAATGATGTCAGTAGTACCTATTGTGCTGTCAGTAGTACCTATTTTTTAAGAAAATTTCTACGAGCAAAAATATATATATATATATATTTATATAGAGACATGAACATGGATACACAGCAATGATAGCTGAGGTCTAGCTCTAGTATGTGCAGTTTGTGTACGACACAGTCCACTGTACTGTAGTCTATTTTATTCGGTTGTATTGAATGATTCCATGGTAAGTCACAAATGTTTTAATGGCACCAATACCACAAAGCTCGATGAAACCTAGATAAGAGGATGAGTCATGAGGAAAGTAGTGACATTTTTATTTAGATGAACACCTGCGAGAGTGCAAGGTTGATGTCTGAGTTTTTGATCACCACTGCTGACCTAGCAAGCAGACACATGTTAAACCAATGCACACAAGACCTTCAGTATATATCCTAAACTATTTAAAGTGAATGTCAGAGTAGCTAGCAATAGCTGTGCATGAATGTTTATCTACCCTGCTACTCTATGTGTACTTGCTGGAATTTTGACTTTTGAACAAGTACTGAACAAGTGAACATGTTCATGGCAGCAACATTTACTGATGAAGTGTGGTAAAACAGGAACTGTTCCATGCCAGTCAATAAAGAGGAACTTTAAATGTACACTTGTGAAGCTCAGAAGCTTAAGTTCAGAAAAGCCCAACAAAATAGATGATGAATGATTGCTACTCATCTCCCGATTTCAAACACAACAAGAGCACAAAACTCAAGTTATTTAACATTGTGAATGTAAATCTTTAGTTCAATTTTCTCTCTTTCTTGAAATAATTGAATTGGAGTGGGAATAAATCAATGTTTTTAAGTGCATATTTCAGTAAATATGATATGACAAGCTTCAGAAACAGAAGTTGATCAAATTCAAGCTTTAATGAGAATATTATCTTGTCAGAATTGATCCCTGTTATAAAGTTTAGCATATTTTGGCCATTTGAATGTGTCAAATTCATAAATGTGTCATAATAATATAACTTTGACATTGATCCAGATACAATCTTGTACTATCAAATTAGCCAGCTAACAAATATAATAATTTCAACAAGAAATCTCAAGTTTATGCCTCTCATTAAAAAAATAAATAAAAATAGAACCTGTCTCTCAAGACAGAAAAAAGAAAGAAAAACTAGTGCAATTTGAAATGGAAAAAGAATTTTGCAATTGCAGTTTGAAGCTGTATATATTAATTATCAAAAAAGAAAATAGAACTGTGCAAGTGTTCATCAGACACAGTTAAATCAAACATTAAATCTTTCTAAAAAGCTTTAAATTCAAGCTGAACTGATATGATAAGAGGATCTTTGAAAGATTTTAATAGGGGAAAAGCTGTACATGACTCTTATTAAAATTTCTATAGATATTTGTGTAACCTAATCAAGAAAGGAGGACAGCTTGCATTCATTAACATAAAACAGGGTTTAGAGAAGTGATTATGAGAATTACATGCATCTGAACTTTATTCTTTGTCACCATGATAAGAAACATGATAGGAGATTATGATAAGGCTACCAAGATAAATTTGATGGAAGTGTAATGACTAATTTTGATACTACTACTAATTTTGATTGATACTATGGTAGAAGTTGAGACAGGGAGTTAATACTACAAAAAAATAGTGAATACTCACAACATCATGAGGATACGTGGGAGCTTGTGAGGCATCAGACAGCAGTCTCTTGCACTGATGGCTGTTGCAGTATGGTGCACATTCATGATGGAAGCACGCTTTGCACTCTAGAAGAGGGAAGAGTGAAGACAATTTGTGAGATATATTGAAGCTACACTCTTTGCATGATATAGATGCACTTGAAGAACCAGCAGCAGGCAATGAAGAGTTTGCTATGCAGCGACATGTTAAAGCCTCAAGCCTGATGGCTGCTGCACAGTTGCTGTTGCAACAAAGCTGCTGGTGTTCATGAGGATTAGTAACGTTCACTAGAACTTGGTCCGGAGATGCATTGCTTCCTGCTTGTCCTCTCCCATTAGGAGTCTTCAAGGTGTAATTTTGGTGGTCAATATTGAGGACAGGCTTGTCGAAATAGCCGCCTTTCTCAGAAACAGATTTGTTCAAATTGTTTTCCGGATCCAATAACGGCGGTGATCCGGAATGTGGCGAAGGACTTGAACCGCCAACTGGCGGTGGACTGCTAGGAATGAAACGAGCCTTCATAGACTCGCATATATTTGCACTTAGACTCTTGTCAAGCATATTATTGTTGTCGGCGTTGCTGCTTGAGGACATATTAACAGTAATATCATTTAATCTGATCAGCAGCAGTGACAACGCACATTTTCGACCAATCCGGAATGTTGCACATGAAGGCAATGACTTTCATCCATCAGAATATTATTTCAGGAAAGATGTTTTAGAAGTTTTGCGCAAATTTCTAATAATAGCTTCTTGCACGGTGCACCGATTAAATAAAACGATTTTCTCACGTCATATTAACTTATAAATTTTTCACGTTATAACTTCACAGGTACAAAAACAGAGTATATAAGAACTATAAAACTGAAACAAGGCCAAATTTCCACGCTTGAGGTTATAGACAAAGAAAGCAGTCTTTCAGCAGATAGAGCTGCCGGACAAGGCGGCGAGCAACATTTGCACGACCACCATCACCAACGAAGGTTGCAAGCCGACTAAACTCTCGCACTGAACACCGGCTACACAGGAGCTCTTAGTAACCCACCAACTAAGTAACTGTTGTTTGCAACAAGGTATTTGATGAGAAATATTATGATTTCGACTTGATAAAAAATTGTTATTAAGAATTATATAAGTCTTTTATACGATAAGTGGCCACAATAAGCTCCAACATTGAAGGTAAACCGGCGTGACATTGTTATTATTAGCTGGTACAAAGCCATAAAACTGTCATTAATACTACAAAGTTTGTGAATATAGACTTCATTTTACAAAAAGTGATATCGATAATCAACTGTAGCCGGCTAGTTACACAGAAGCACCAGGAAGTGCATTAGCAACAAAGGAAATTCCGTAGCTGGCAACTGCAAAGCAGCTGTGCCAGATGTGAGCAACGTTGCCGCACCTCAGCTCAGCTGAATGGTTGTCGCTAGGCTCGTCTAACTCCAGCATCTCTCTGTGTGTTGCTCAAAAATCGGCCTTATGTTCAGCGACTTATCTTGCAAGCACTAAAATGAATAGATGCAAGCAAATTGTCAGTAGACCAATCATATCAGCGTTCATAAAACTATTCAATTTCGAACAGCATGTAATGGCCAAAAAATTCAATATCTTTGTACAAACTACAGCCGCATGGTAATCGTGACTGAAATTCATTCCAATCCCGACACACGCTGACAGACAATATATCTTATTCGCATGGAAATTTCGACGTATACGGATGCTTCATATAATTTTGTGGAAGTTGAAGAAATTTTACCTGCGAATCAAATAGTGACATAGTTATCGTCGTTGACGGGATCTGGTAAATGAATGGCCTTCAGCCAGGCAAGCTCTGACAGGGCAGTCAGAGAGGGGTACCTGAGGTGCGGCAAAACTATAAAATGCAATGATAAAAAGTTAAATGCATTATCATTCTATTTTTTAACTTTACTACACCATGCCAGCGTGAGTTTAGTTAGGCTAACTGAACATTTAAACTATTCCCATCGTAAGCTGTGATGGCCTTCGTCTTGCAAGGAATAATTGCTAGTCATACTACCGAGCTTACAACCTATAGGACTACCCTAGAAAATCGTTTTATATGTAAAAAAACGATTGAATCTCACGAATGAGAAAGTATAAGCATAAAAATAAAATACAGATATCTGTATGCTACACACATATTTACAGAATTAATTTTCATCAGTACACAAATGACGCAGAACAATTCACAGACGGAATCCAGAGAAATGGGTCAAGAACGGGAAGTAGTCTTCCAAAAGCGGGTCAATAACTGGAAGTAGTCTTTCAAATTAAGATCCTAGGGAACTAGCCAACGCAGTTTAGTGTCAACACTAAAGTAAATGAGAATTCTCAGTCACTATTCAATAGAGTGTCTTGACAGGCCTGTGGTGCAGCAGTACAGGTACAAACGTCATACGAATCACGTAGCGAATAGTTCTCGACTATCTCTACATGAACTCACGAATAGAATTACCAACAAGCTTATCATTTAAAAGCGACACTTTCAACGAACGTGGATTGAAATTAGTACGAGATTGTGGTGTGGTTTACGTCATGGGCGTCAAAATTAGACCGAAATCGACTGTAATGTTTGCCTAAAGATTAGACAAACTTTAATTAGACTTGACACTCATGTGGTGAACGGTCTCAAGTCTAACTGCGGCACCGTTTGTCCGTTGCATAGACTAACATTCCAATGAATAATACCTTATTGCGCTGCATCAGTTAATATTCTATTGTACAACTAAAAATATTTTCAGCTGAAAAAGCTAAGAACAAAATTCAAATAATGAAGGAAGGGAGCCGAGATTGGACAGTGCGTGGGCGACGTATGACACAAAAGAAGGCTTATAGCCTGGAGCGCTCCTCGGTGACATCCTCAAGAAAGTGAAGCATCGGAGCGTGCTCGAGTGACCTGCCATCAGAACAGAGACGATATTATCTGCCTACACCACTCCCCCAATGAAGGCGACACTAAGTCCACGTGTAATGCAGCCATGGCCGTTACATGCGACCAACGCTCTACAAATGTCTACAACGTCCAGTCTTACCAAAATACAGGGGCCTAAGTCCTAACAGAGAAATATATTCAAAGTCATATTCATAGGCGATTCGAAGAACGAGTGTAATGCAGCCATGGTCGCTACATGCGACCAACACTTCACGGTCACAAATGCCTGCAACGTCCCAGTCTTACCATAATAACAGGGGCCTTACAGAGAAATATATTCAAGTCATTTTCATAGGCGATTCGAAGAATAACACCGACTATTGCGATAACTTACGAAGTGCCAACTCTGGAACGGCCCCTAGAAGCTCAAAATTATTGCGCAATATTATTGAGAGATTAGAGGCGATATTGACGGGTTGCGCAACATGTTACGTGAATTTTAGAATCTTGAAAATATATTGCGCAAACTGGAAGATATTGATTCTGTTTTTGGGCGACATTGCGCAGTATTCTCGCTCAGTGCGTCCGTAGTGGTCGTACGAAGCGGTATAATGTCCATCGCATGTCATCATGACGGGCGAAAGAAACTACTTCTGTGCTTTATTGAACTTTATAGTCGTCTTCAAGCCTTATGGGATTTTTGATACAAATATTATACTAATAGTTCGAAAAAGGGAAGCAATACGAGATATTAATCAAAATTTCCTCAGTTCATTTACTATTTAGTAACTTTTGGTGAATACATTTTCCCAGTCAATAAATCAGTACTTGGAGTATTTTTATCCTTATATTCTACAACTTTTGGCTACATAATTATGCCACAATACGATTCAGTTTCGCTTAACATGTTGACTTCATGAAAGTCTGGCAGGGAGTGTTCGCGCAATATGGTTGTGCGTCTGGGGGCATGATTGCGCAACCTGTCAATAGTGTTGTAGAAATTTGTACTGCTGGGTTCATTTATAAAGTAACATCGTAGTAACTTGATACATTGGATACAATAGGAAGGGCAGTGCGGGTGGAATGTTACGACCAAGTAAATACCAATGATGTCAAACACAGACACCAAATTGATAATATGAAGAGGATTTGCAGAGCAACACTTATCAGTTGTTCGATTGACTTTTGATTGGCAGTTGTATGAGACCAGGTATATAATATTAAATTGAGAAAACATTACGCAACACTGAAATTTACTCCAGGTATACAGAGCAGGGGAAACTAAACCTCTTTAATAGTTAAATACTCAATCTAGTATGGTAGGCGTGTAACTATGTTACAAGAAGGCAGCTGATTCGAAGCGAGTCAGTCCACATAATGTTATAACTCCACACATTTTATAATGTTATAATTCCACAGCAATTGAACAAAGCCTATATTTGCGGCACAAAGATCGAGCACTCGTAACCCGGGCCACACATCAGCCACTGACTGACCTGCGCTTCAATTATCAGGGCGTAGATAAGGCCACAAGCCAGACAAAATTATCTCTAATTTTTTACATGTGACGCTCAACGGATGAATGACCTGGATAGGGAATCGAGGTCGGCCGTTTAAAGTATATTTAAATTACAGCATATTACAGCGATCGTGGATAACTTCTGACATGCATAAGCCAATATTACATGGCTTTAGAAGGAGGTTGTTAAGATTAACCCTGAAAAAAGAGTTAATCGTCAAAATTTAGCACTTGTATACGGAAGTGTGTGGGGCGTGGGTGGACCAGATAAAAGAATTTCTTCGATTTCTATCTAAAATATCTGACTGGAATGACTAAGAACACTGACCATATGTGCTAGATCGCTGGTCGTAAGGAAGCTGGTCATATTTAAGGATCGTGAGAACGCTGACCGAGTGTTAGATTGCTAATCTTAAGAACGCTGGGTCAAACACTAGATCGTTTTTGGAAGTTTAAAGTGTGGTCGTAGGAACGCTGATTTTGGTCTAGGTCGGAGATGGTAAAAACCCTATAGCCATGTACAAATTAGACGGTCAATAACCAGTTCAAGTTGTAAAATTTAATGAAGACAGAAAAACCATTTCTTCTTTTGAATAGAAGTTTAATAGAAATTTAAAAATAAATAGAAAAATAATAGTAAATAATAATAAAATAAATAGAAAATTCAATAA